GCTTTCACCGGTAAATACAATAGATTCGCTGGCTTAGTCGGTGAAACTCAGCTTAGAACCTTCTGGTCTAAGATGTTGGCTCTGAGCCCAGAAGTCCTCTGCCACCCCTCCATCCTCACTTGGCCGAGAATCTTGATTTAGTACCCTCAAACCTCCAGAGTTCATCAGCCAGGGCTGCCCTCCACCTCCAGGCCCATTTACAAACATCCACTGGCCCAAGATAAGTATATTTTATTCTAAACTTTCTCATCTAAACACTTCAGAATTATGACAAGAGACAAGGACACGGTGTATATGTACCTGTTCTCAGAAAGAAAATGTCAAACCTAGAGCTAAAGTCCCCTGAGCCTGTCCTTGCTTTCTGTCCCGTCTCCCCTTCTATTCCAGAAGTAATCACCTGTCCTTGCTTTTTGTCCCGTCTCCCCTTCTATTCCAGAAGTAATCACAGTTCTAAAATTGATGTCACAACCGTGTACATTCCCATCTGGTGCATTCACTCTGGGCACCGCCTCTGCTAGAGCCATAGATACCGAGGGAAGGACGCAGAGGCGTCTGTTCCTCCAGCCGTGTTGTGAAGATGTCATTTCATAAAAATGGAGAAAACAGTCGTTATGTGTCAGGCCCAGGTTCTCCGAGGATGCCGGGGAGGCAGCTTAGGAAGAATGAGGACAGGGTGGCTCTCGAGCTGGGTTTGTCTCGCCTGGCAGATGGTCTCTGTCTGGCAAATGTGGAATTAAGGCCAGGAAATTGGTAATCGTGGGAGAGGGTGGGCAAGAGAGAGAAAGTCTTACCGCAGGGGCCTCTTTTCCCATCAAGGTGATGGGAATGGACGAGAGCCGAGTCCATTCGTTTCCTCACTAACTGTTCACCTACCTAAGTCCCAGGCAATGCCCTCAGCATTGGAATGGAGAGCTGTATAAAAAAGGAAAAGCAATGGTTCCAGGTCTGAAGAAGTCCATGGATTAGAATATGTTCGTCATGTCATAATTACAATAGACCATAAGCTTCCTGGGACTGGGTGCTAGCTTATTAAATAGAGTCCAGGGTCCAGCTCCTAGAGAGGTACCCGGTTTGGGGGAGCAGTGGAGATGTAAGGAGGTGAAGGACTTCAGAGTTCCAAACTCTTCGGGCAAAGATGAGCAAGCAAGTGTCTACCCTGACAGGGATTTCTGCACGCAACAAACTTGACGCAGCACACTTACAAGGCCTCCTATAGCTGCCATTCTAGATACCACCCTCCTGAAGCCACCATTTTGAACCCACAAACCGCTCTAATCCCCACGCCGCTCTGCACTCCTGCCTCGTTCTACTCCACCAGACCTTCTATTTGTGTCTTTTGGAGCACCTGTCCTTTGAGCAAATTCTCCTACTTCCTCAACTTCACTGAACTAGCTGTAGCTGACGTCTCTTTTGGAGCGTCTGTGCAGCTCGTAGACTAGCACCCTTCCCACACACAGTGGTGGACTTGGGGCACGTTGTTCAATGTGTGCAAAATAACCTCCCCCCACCGCCACAGCCCCCCCCACTGACCACAGGTGGCTACAATTGGTTTCTGTTAAATGCAACCAGAAACCTAGCTGATCTCCTTCACCTTCTAGCCTGAACTGAAACCCGGCCGTCCCCTGAGGTTGCCACTTCCCCTGTCATCATTTGAAGTAAAAGCTATTTATTCGCCCATGACTCGCATTCAGGCGGCACGAGCAACGTCCTTCCAGGTCTCCTCAACCCTTCTGAGCGATTTCTCCCCGTTTCACTGTGAATCTCTGTCCCACAGAGGACCAATACAACCTTTTGCCCTCCTTTGTTTCGGCTCTGTCACCTCCCAATCTGACTATCCCTTCAAGTTCTCTGACTATCTGGCTCACTTCTCCATCCTGGGGTACAGCAAGGGAGGGATTTTTCCATCTCTGTGGACCTTCCACTGAAGGACCCAGCTTGTTAATTCCTTCTCCCTTCCAGCTCAGAACCGTCCCTTCAGGTTCACTTCCATAGCCACACCGTGTCCTTTGCCACCACTGTAATAGTCCCACCCTGGAAACCTTACATTATCGCTGTGATCATCCTGCCCTCTGTCATACAGTCTGACGGACAGAGGCCTCTAACACAGCGTCAGAGTATCCACTGTGTGCCAGGTATTGGCAACGCAAGGGCAGAGTTTTCTCAGCGAGTAGCTCAGAGCCTTGCAAGGAGGCAGATCTAATAATCACACACAAACAGAATTATGAACCAGGGTAAGACGTGTGTGAGAGATTGGGAGGTAAGAATGCATTTCAGGAAGAAGAAAAACTGTGAGCAAAACCCACAGGCGGGTTGGAGCACGGCTTGAGGAAGTGAAATAACAGCAGGAGAAGACGGGTACGGTCCGAGACAGAACGCTGGGGAGTGCAGCAGGGTGAGGCCGGCTCAGAAGAGACGGGGGAGATACACATTTTGAAAGGGCCACTGTCAAAAGGTAACTAGATGAAACACGGGGAATTTTTCGAAGCAGCGAAACTATTCTGTAGTCACTATAATGGCAAATAATGGCATATACATCTGCCAGAAACCAGGGGGATGTGTGCTAGAGTGAATCCTACTGTCAACACGGACTTCAGTTAATAATAAGAAGACCAAGCTAGGTATGGCGGCTCACAGTCATAATCCTCCCCTTTGGAAGATACGAGCAGCAGCAGGAGGAGTTCGTGTCATCTCTGGCTACATAGCAAGTTCTAGGCCAGCCTGTGCTCTATGGGAACCTAGTTCAAAAAGCCAAAACAGGCACAGAGGCGCATCCCAGAACTCCAGAGGCAGAAGCAAGAGGATCTCTGTGAGTTTCAGGACATCCAAAACCACACAGACTACAAAACTCCCAAAGCAAAATCAGAACAAAAAAGCACTGCACTACCATGAAATGTTAGTAGTGGGAGAAACTGAGTTAAGTAGGGGAGGGTACATGTAAGGAACTCTTTGTGTTGTATTCTCAATTGTCTATAAACCCATAAAACTGCTCGCTCTAAAATAAAGATCTATTAATTGAAGAAAATAAGACAATAGAGGGGAAAAATCTCCTGTTGTTCAAAGAAAAGTGGTTTCGAAGCAGAGGAAGTGTGGGCATCCTATCCGGAGGGGCTGAAGTGTGCTTCATCTCCAGAGAGCTTTCCTAGCATGGGTGAAGTCCTAGGTTGGATTCTAAGCCTGAAATAAATAAATAAATAAATAAATAAAGGAAAAAGAGAGACAGAGATCCAGGCATGGTAGTGTGGCCTGCCGTTCCAGCTACTCAGGAGACAGGGGCAGAAAGATCTCTTAAGCCCAGGTATTCAAGGCCATCCTGGACAATATAGTAAAACTCCATGAGAAACAAAGAAGAAAGGAAGGGACAGGAGGGAGGGAAGAAGGGCAGAAATGAGGAGGGAAGGAAGGAAGGGATGGAGGGAAGGGAAGGAGGGGGGAAAGAAGGAAAGTGTCTCTGAAGTACAGGCAATAAAAGATGATCACTCAGTCCAGGAAGATTATAGAGAAAAAGAAGTGGGCAGAGCGCAAGGTGACTTTGACAAGACTTAGTGATGAACTGGTTATGGGCTGGGGTTCAAGGGCCGCTGGGACTTCTTGCCTAACTGGATGAAATGATGTCATCTGCCAGTTGTTACTGAGGCTCTAGGGCAGACTTACCGATTCTATTGCTACAAGTTAAGACACCTGAACACATGGATCCTTAGCAGGCATGTGGATGTGATACTCACAAAAGGCCACTTTATCGCCTGCCTTCCCAGCTCTGGCTATGATCCTTCCCTACGTCATATCCCAAGTCCTGTTCTTGCTTCACCAATCCTCGAGCAGGACAAGATTAGTTGTTGTCTCAGGGCCTTGGTATTTACACTAGTGTTAGAAGGAAGCTGGGTCAGATGGCCTCTAAAGGGTACAAAAGCAGAGCTGGAGCAAGCTAGGGGTGTGTGTGTGTGTGTGTGTGTGTGTGTGTGTGAGAGAGAGAGAGAGAGAGAGAGAGAGAGAGAGAGAGAGAGAGAGAGAGAGAGGTCTTTAAGAAAGCCATCTACCTCCTTCGCGACAGGTCTTTCCCACTATTAGCATAGGCAAGCTGACCAGTGTGCTCAGGCATCCTCCCGTCTCCTGCCCAGCACTGGAATTATAAACACATGCTACCACACTAACATTTTGACATGGGTTGTGGAGCTTGTTCATGGGTCTGCCTACTTGCCAGGCAATCATGCTATTGGTCGAGCCTTCTCCACAGCCCTGGAGGCTGGTCGTTTCTAGAGGTCCCCCAATCCTGGAAGACTTTGTACCTCTCCAACCCCAGGGCTTCCACCATGAGCATCACTATACCCAACTTGTTGCCGGGTGTTCTCCTGTTGCGGCAGATGCGGAGCGCCTGGATTCCTGCGCTCCAGCACTCTGGCTAGGGTCTGTCTAAGCTTCCATAACCTCAAGTAACCCTGGACCAACACGGAATACTCTTTTCCAAGTCACACGACCAGATGGTCCCAGGGGAAATTCAGTTCTCTGTGTGTTTTTATCTCCAAATGAAGCCTGTCTTCAGACAACAGAACAAATGTGCCAACATCCTGTTCCAAAAACCAGAAAACACAAACTCCCAAGAACTACCAGCCCTTTAGTCAGTCTGGCTCAAACAGAACGCTATTACTAATTCAAGATGCCACGGCCTTACCTCCCCTCCTGGCGCACTAGTAACACAACACAGACCGTAGAAGCAAGTGAGTCATGGTGTTTGCTGTTCACTTAACGGTTACAAGTGTGAGGGGCTGCCCTTCAGTCTGACCTTCTCTGTGTAGTAAACTATATCTTTGGCTTCTAGCAGGGGCTGGGGAGTAGGGATGCGGGGGAGTGACTCAAGTTCATAGACCAGAGCTGTGCCGTGACCGCTTTGTATGGCTTCTCTAAAATCTTTCATTGAGTACTGCCTAAATAAACATGATGACCCAAAGTCTGGCATGAAGAGTCTGGGCTGTGTTGAAATCTATGCACTTGGACCCAGACCACGGACTACCCCGTAGACTCCCGGAGAAGCAAACCTCTTGGAAGTCATCACCATTTACCTCTACCCAGGGCTACGATACTTTTGTACAAGGAACTTGGCACCGCTCCCGAATCCCGACTCTGCCCATTATTTGAGTGATCCACAAGGCCCTGTGATCTGCTGAAAGCCAGGTCTGTTTACTCCCTGCCCTGCACCCTGCTCTGAGTTCCTGAATCAGACAAGCGGTCTCTAGCTTTCTCTTCCGTAGTGGCTGGAAGGCGTCTTCTGTGAGGCATAAGGTTTATTCCCACCATGGTAAACGTGTCAATTTTATATAATATATGCCATGCACTCTAATCTCCTCCTTGTAAGGGAAGTTTATTAGGACTTAAGCTGCTGGTCGCTGGCCAGCCAATGTATCAATTGTGCTTGGTCAAATGCCAATCCTTAGTTTAATCAGCTGTCTTGACTCCAGGAGATGGGGTGGGTCACGCAGTGTTAAAAGGGACAACCTGTTTCTGCTGTTCCTGAAGGCAGATAGCACACGAAGCACTGAGCAGCTAGGAACCCCGTTTGCACAAATACGCTGAGCAAATCAGAACGTGCCTAAGGGACCTTTGCAACTCTTTGGTGGACATCTTTCTCCCTCTGACTGGAGATGAAGACACACGGGTGCACACAGTAGGTGCTCAACTGTTACTTTTCAACGAAAGAACCCATTCCTGAATAAAGCTGGCAAGCTATGGGGAAGAGAGAAGTTGGAAATAGCGCGAGAGGAGTGTAATGAATCAAAAGTTTGACTGAGTCAGGTTATGAGTAAGCCAAGTTATGAATAAGCAGGACCTACGGTGCATAAAATACCCACAGAGCAGACACACGAAAGCCAGGCAGTAGTGAGCAGAAAGCAGGGCAGGCACGAAGGAAGTGACTGACTCACTCAGGGGCACATTCCTTGAGTCCACGGCATCCCTCCCACTCAACCCTCCCTGACTCTGAGGGCTTGTCTTTCCCCAGGGGCCTGTGAATATGCATTCCTACAATGAAGCTTACTAAGGTTAACTCGAGTGAATCAACACATCTCAACTTTGGGGGATCAATCACTGCTTAGACCATGAAGTCATTTGCCCTTCTTCTGAGTAGATGAGTAGTCAACCTGTGTGGAAACCGAGGCATGTTTTAGTGCAAAGTGGAGACACTACTTAGACGCCTTTTAGAGCCCCTATTTAAATAAACTATATTTTAAAATTTGGTTTTTTTAGCTGGGCGTAGTGGTGCGCACCTTGAATCCCAACACTTGGGAGGCAGAGACAGGAAGTTCTCTGTGAGTTTGAAGCCAGCCTGGTCTACAGAGTGAGTTCCAGGACAGCCAGAGCTACATAGTGAGATCCCATCTTGGAAAAAAAAGAAAAAAGAAAAAACAGAAAAAAATTGTTTTTGTTTTGCTTTTTGAGACAGCATCTTACTATGCACCCCGACTGGCCTGGAACCTGCTATGTAGACCAGGCTTGCCTCAAACTCACAGAGATCCTCACGTTTCTACCTCCTAAGCGCTGGCATTAAAGGTATGCTCCACTACTTCTGACTCTGACATACTGTATTTTTTAAATTATTTCTTGTTTCAATAAAATTTTTATCTCGAAGGAGTAAGGACAAGCAAATTTTCTTGACTGTGCCCAAATCTTTAAATTGAACATTAGAAAGAAAAATTAAATATTACTTTGAATTTGGAGGAATATTATGAAGATAGATCACTTTCGTTATTACCAATACTTACTACTAGATTTTTATGCATTATTAATTACTTAACTGACCAACAAAACTGCCAGTTACCCCCACAGTGTTGGGTTCTTTATGACATCTAAACCTTTTAATTTACTGTTGCTGCTGTAACAAGTTAGTACACATCGAATCACGTACGGAGTACAAATGCATTATCTTCTAGTTAGTGGGGGAGGGGTTGTCTACAGAACTGGCAGGGTTCAAATCAAGGTATCAGTGGAGCTGCTTGCTTTTCTGGAAGTCCTAGGGAAGATTTCACTCACACCTTTTTCAGCTTCTACGGGCGTCCATTCCCCTGCTTCATTGCCAGAGCCAGTAGCGCTGAACCTTGCTTACATTACATCTTTGTCGCTTTTCCCTCCAACTGATGTCAGATGGAAAAGGTTCTTTGTGGGGATTCTAAAATAATCTTGCAATGTCCAGTCCCTTAACCTTAATTACATCTGTAAAATCCTCTTTGTAACATAATATATTCACAGATTACCTTGGATTAGGGCACTCATCTTTTAGGGAAGCAATTATTCTGCCTGCCACACTATAATTACCAATCCTTCTGTGGTCTGATAAGAGCATCTAGGATCATGGCAGCATTCGAGATGTGTCTCAAAAGCACAAATTGCTAGAAAGAAGAAACCTCACAATAAGACACAAAATATAGTCCTTTCCATTAAAGACCAGCAGAACTGGTTAGTGTTGGCTCATGCAGGTATCCTAACATTTGTTTGGCAGAGGGAGGAGGATTAAGAATTTGAGGGTAGGCTAGCCTGTGAATACATAGTAAGACTGTCTAGAAAGAAAGGAAGAACTAAAGAAAGAAAGAAAGAAGGAAGAAAGGAAGGAAGGAAGCAAGGAAGGAAGGAAGGAAGGAAGGAAGGAAGGAAGGAAAGAAGGAAGGAAGGAAGGAAGGAAGGAGGAAAAGGAAAGGAAAAAGACAAAGGGAAGAGAATTGCTATTAGCTTCAGTGTACCAGTACCATGAGATTTATCTGAACTTTTACACAGATTCTTTCTAATAGATATTATCTCCACTTTATAGCCAAGGAAAGTGAAATTCTGAGTAGCTAAATAATGTGTTCGAAGTTAAACAGCTGATCATTTGGAATCCCAACTAGATCTGTAAGTAACTCAACCCCTCACAGTTCCCACTTTGCACATGACTGCGTAATTTTCTGTGGAAACTGAGCTCACATATATGAAGCTGGCGATGACACTGGACAGAAGGTTCCAGGGACTTTAGGTTTTCTTTGATTTTTTAAAAATTTACTTATTTTTTTCTAAGGATCTTGCTGTTTATCAAGTTGATCTTTAACCCCGGGGCTTCATCCATCCTGCTGCCTCAGCCTCCCAAGTAATAGGGACTATAAGGTAAGTGACCACACCCAGTTGGACTCCTTAAACATATACTTGTTATTAATGCTCTAAAGAAAATAGGATCCCAGGACAGAGTGCTCCCTTCCTTTCTCTGCTTGTTATGGAGCCAGGAACACTGTTAGTCTTCCCCCACTCCTGTTGAGGCAGCGTTTCTCTTTGTAGCCCTGGCTGTCCTGGAACTCACAGAGATCCACCTGCCTCTCCCTCTTGAGTGCATCCCCCCCCCACCCCTTTATTTTCCCCAGAAAAAAGACCATATATAGTTTTACCTATCATTTTCTTCACTAGGAAGGCTGGGGTCTGAAGGCTGCCTCGGAGGATTTACTGATCTAATTCATGCCCTTCTCTCTTCTCTCTCTCTCTCTCTCTCTCTCTCTCTCTCTCTCTCTCTCTCTCTCTGTGTGTGTGTGTGTGTGTATGCACATGTGATATGTGTGTATGGAGGCTAGAGGTCAAACCTTGGTGTCATTCCCCAGGGGTCACCCATTTTACTTTTTGAGACAGCTTCTTACTGAGTTCTGAGGCTTGCCAAGGAAACTAGGCTGGTTAGCTAGCAGAGAACCCCAACAATCTATCTGTCTCCACCTTCTCAGCAAGAAACACCACCCTGGGCTTTTTTTTTTGTTGTTGTTGTTGTTGTTTCTTAGAATCTAACTCAGGTCTTTATACTTATGTGGCAAATATTTTGTCCACTTCTGGGGAAGAGTGTGTGTCTCACTGTGTAGCCCTGGTTGGCCTGGGATTCACTCTGTAGATCAGGCTGGCCTTGAACTCACAGAGATCAGCCTGCCTCTGTTTCCCAAGTGCTGGGATTAAAGGTGTATATTGTCGAGCTTCTCCCCCCTCCCCACTCCCTATACCCATAGCTCCCTTTCTAAAATTAATGGCATTTAGATAAACCTGGGTTTGAGAAGTGAGTGAGGAAGTCTCAGTCCCATTGTTACCCATCCATTTTTTAGCACCAGCATGATTGTACACCCGGCTCACTAAGGATGCGCTAGCAGCAGGAGGGTGGTCCATAGCCACTTTTGAAACGAAGAGAGGATGTGGCTTCGGTTTGGGCAGCCCTCCTCATCAGCTGGGGCTGGTTATCTATCTGTCTGCTCTCCGCTGGTCCTGCCTCTCTTTCTGCATTGCCTGTGAGTCTCTCCAATTCTGACTATTTGATCAACAGTCCTCCTCTCCGCAGCCTGTTTGTATGTACTTTGGTCAGCCCCTCTTGCTCTGCCCTCTGATATTTATTTGCCCTCGATTTCTGTTGATGAAAGGGCCTCTACTTTACCACTGCTCAAGTCCGTACATTTCTTGTTGTGGCCTTGTTCTCTTCTACCCTCACCCTGCTGCCACCCTCAGCACCACTACCATTTATTTCTAGAATTCTGTATAGGCAGAACCAACATCTACTACTATAATCAAACCCATTTATTGAGATCAACAATAATCTAAGAGAATGACTTTAAATTCTTATTGTATTCTTATTCATGCTCATTTTATCTGTGCAAATGCATGGGGGGAGCTGTGTGTGTACCATAGCACCTGCTAAGGTCAGAGGACAACTTGGCAGGAATGGGTTCCCCCCTTCCACCATGTGGATCCCGGGAATCAAATTCAGGTCGTCTGGCTTGGCAGCAAGAGCCTTTATTTACTGAGCCATCTCCCTGGTCCTAGGAATATGGCTTTTTCCTTGGTTCTTTTAATTTCTTAGTTTTTGTTCTTTTATAGCGTGGTGTGATATGATTGTGCTGTCTAATTTATATTCTTGAATTGCATTCTTCTGCACCTCAGAATGTGTTCTTTGCAGAGTTTATTTATGCTTCTCTTGGCTGACACTCACAGAGATTCATTTTCAAATGTATGAGCAAATCTGTTTACTTTTTCAGAACAGCTAGCACTATCCAGTAACTAAAAGGGTGGGTATAATGACCAGTCTCACTGCAGCGTTTAACCTTAGCACCCGACTTTGATTAAATAGCCCATAAAAGTCACATGCCATAACTCACGTATTATTTAATCTTTCTGACAACTCTCCACGTTTTCATCTCCGTCTTATAGATCAGGAAACTAAGGCCTAAAAAGAGTAAGGAAGTTGCCAGCTCTCCTAGCAGTGATAGACCCAGGGTCTTAACCTCACTGTATCAGTTCAAAACACAGGCTTCCACCACCCTTCACTGCTGCTATTGGTTCAGAGCTCAGTTTACAACATGGGGAAACAATATCAAATCACCAGGCAAACAGCGTAGAATGTAGATATGAAGAGAACTTTGATTACTCTCTTCTGATAGAATAAAATCGGACCACGATGGCTAAGTAGGGTAGTATCCTAGAGGGACCAGGCCAGGACGTCTTACCGTCCAGGAGGGCTGCAAAGAACCAATCCAGATGGTCAAACAAGGAAGCTGAGGAGAGAAAGGGCCATGGTTGGAGGAATCCCAAGTGTGGAGAACATTACTGATCCTCCCCATGAGAGTCACAAGCCAACTCATGTGCTTTTGCCAATTGCAATAAGAGCCGAAACAGAATGGAGCGGGGAGAGCATCAGAGTGTGAGTACGGGGCATCCAGGAGCAAAGCAGTCATCGTGAGCTCAGATGTGGTTGCCTCTCTAGCTGCTCTCACTCCTCTTGTGCAGAATCCCCACACTGGGAGTCTGGTGGAGGGGCACAAAGCTGATTTGTCAAGGGTTGGGAAGGGCTTTCGTAGGCTACAGTGTACGTAGTACTTCTCACCTAAGACAATGATGGGTACCCACCCATAGGAGCTGCAAGAACTTCCAGGCACCAAAATCTTAGTAACTGGAAGGTGAACTTGGAGTTGCGATGTGAGTGGAGGATGTCACCAAAACAGTGAATGGAAAAGAGATCATTGAGTAGTAGAAGGAGTATAGACTTTTTGTTTTGTTTTGTTTTCCAAGACAGGGTTTCTTTGTGTAGTCCTAGCTGTCCTGGAACCCATTCTGTAGATGAGGCTGGCCCTGAATCTGCCTGCCTCTGCCTCCCGAGTTCTGGGACTAAAGGTGCGCACCACTGAGCCTGTCAAGAATAAGCTTTTCTCCCTTCATGATGGCTTGGCCCTTTACCAGCTCCCTCCTAACTAACAGAGGCTAAAACATGCTCTACACTATAGAATCTGTAAAAAAAACAAAAAACAAAAAAACAAAAAAAACAAAACAGGTGACTCCTAATTTCCAAACCTCATTTTCTATCCAATCACTTTTTCTGTTCTGCAGGTGTCTGCTTGCATCCTGATGTTACACACCAAGGCCCCACTGCCCTACCAGCTCAGTGTGATTAGGCATTTCACTAAGATAATCTTCTTGATTGCTTATTCTAGCTTCGACCCTTGACTTTTTTCTGTTTCTTCTGAACCCTCATCCTGCCAACTGGTTACTCATGCTAGGACACCTGAATCCTTAAAAGTAGGCCCAAGGTGACATCTTTAGTTCCACCTGGAACCAAGAGGCGGAGATGTGTGTTATGTGAGCTGTGAACTGTTCACTGGCCAGCAATGCCCTCCCAACACTGTAATTTCTACTTGCAGAGAGGGGCAGGAAATGATTGGAGCGTAGGACTCAGAACTGGTTGCCTAAGCTTCTCCGAATGACAAAGAGAACACAAGAAAATTCATTTAGCCAAACACTAAGCTCAAATGTCCTCTACTACAATTTGAGGAGAAAGCAGGTAAGTATTTCTCTCTGTCGTTTGCTTTTTCATGCATGCCATATGTATGAATGCACACCAACCACAACACTACAGCCGGAGGAATTTTCCCCGAGTCCTCACACTTTTCAGTCACTCCCTGGATCAAGGAAGGGAATGCTGGCCAAGCAGTGGTGGCACAGGTCTTTAATCCCCAGCACTTGGGAGGCAGAGGCAGACAGATCTCTGAGTTCAAGGCCAACCTGGCCTACAAATTCAGTTCTAGGACAGCCACACAGAGAAACCCTATCTTGAGCTGGGGGGCGGGGGGAGGGGGAAAGGGAAGGAAGGGGAGTTTGCTGAGGGGCGGGGAAGTAGAGAAAGAGAACACCATATGACATGAACCCAGTCCTTCCATGGCCCGACCTGGCTATTCTTCTTCACGTAATAACCCCTTTTCTGAGTACTAAAAGTTCATTTTTGCCTGGTTTGGAATTTCATTCGATAACTTAAGTACTCTGAATTTATTTATTATTGCATTTGTAAGATTCAACCATGTTGTACACAGCAATAGTTTCCCCAACCTCGTTGTATATTTCAATGTCAGAATAGATTACTCTTTATCCATTCAACTGCTTTTGGACGTTTGGGCTGTTTCTAGTTTTTAACTAGTTTTATGCTAACTCTTGCTGTGAACATTCTTGTGCATGTCTTTTGATGAACATATGTGTGCATTTTGGTTGGGTCTGAATCTTGGAGTAGAATTCTTGGGTAAAAAGTATATGCATATGTTCAGTTTTAGTAGATACTGCCAAATGGTTTTCCAAAGTTGTAACCAAGAATCTTTCTCTTTTTTTGGACAATGTCTCACGTAGCCCAGGTTGGCCTCAAATTTACTGCGTAACTGAGGCTGCCCCTGAAATCCTGATCCTCCCTAAATTCTTCGTCTTCCTGACTTTGCCTCCCAAGAGCTAGGATTTACAGGTATGCAGCACCACGCCTGGATTTTTCTTTGTTGTTTGTTTTGTTTTGTTCAGAAGAAGTAGAATAGGGTATGATATAGAACAGGCTAGCGTTGAACTCCTGAACTTGCTTCCTCCCAAGTGCTGGGATTACAGATGTGAGTCACTTCAAAGTCTAGAGATTATATATAATCTCCCAGATGTCCTGGAGCTAGAAAGAGAGGGTACAGAGGCAGGCAGGGGGAAATGTGGCTGGTAGTGTCTGCCACTAAGTGGAGTTTAAAAGTAACCCTGGTCTCCGTGGTTACAATCATAGGCTACTCTTCCAGAGAGCAGGGATTCACTTCCCAGCATTCACATGGTAGCTAACAGTCATCTTTAACTTCAGTTTCAGGGGATCCTAAGCCTTCTTCTGGCTTCCATAGGCACTAGACACACACATGGTCCACAAACATAACATGTAGGCAAAACATCCATACACATGAAAATATATAAATAATGTTTTTAAAAGAGTAATCCAGCTGTGGGGTTGTGGCACACACCTTTGATCCTAGCACTCAGGAGGCATAGACAACCGTATCTCTTTGAGTTCGAGGTCAGCCTGGTCTACAGAGCAAATGCCAGGAGAGGGTCCAAAAGCTACAGAGAAACCCTGTCTCAAAAAAAAAAAAAAAAAAA